ATATTCAAATACTTTAAACTTATATAACGAAAAACCTTGTGAAGTTAATTTATTAAGATTTTCTAATTATAAACCAAATTGTGCACCAATTTCAATTAAAATAAATAATATTCAAATAAATAAAATTGGTGATGAAAAATGGATATTAATTGTTCCCAAATTAACAATAGCAACTGTAGAATGTGGAAACACAAGAGATAACATACAATTAGAAGGAAGTTATATCTTAGATTTAAATCCTTCATGTAGCGTTAACATTGAACATTATATCTTAAAAAGTTATAAAGAACCAAAATCAGATTTTATTAAAATAGATTTACCTCAATTAAATTTTGAAAATAATCAGACTTTGCAAACATTTTCGTATAATCCTCATAATATTAATTTACATGAAATTAACACTAATAAGTTAATCGAAACACAGAAAGAATTAAATTTACAAAGAGAACATTTAAGCCAACTAAAAAATCCTGTTAATGTTTCTACCAATGTTTGGACAATTATGTTGTACATTATTTTGATAACAATTGCATTGTACCTTTTAATTAAAAAGCTTATTTTGCCGAGAATGCATAAAAACAAAATTAACTTTGAAACTAAAGGTGATATAATAATTTAAATATTTTTGGAATTTATTCCTTCCGAATAAAGTTTCATCTAACAAGGGAGGAATTACGATATAGCATCCCTTTGTTATAATAAAGCAAACTCTGCAAACTCAGCAGTTTTAGAGAAATATAAATTCTGTACTTAGAATAATTGGAGCAGTCTTGTTTACCACTCGTGTATGTAAGAACTTCGGAATAGTGTTTTTTCTAAAATTCCTAAAAAAATTGTATTTTTAAAAAAAGTTAAAGAAATACCCAAAATCGAAACTTTTTTATCTTATGAACTATGTGTCTATCTCCCTCTTGTTTTCGAGATACAGAGCGAAGACGCCAAATGCGCTGGTCTAATTATTTTTTTTATACAGGGTGTATCTAAATAACAGCGAAAAAATTCAAGGGGCGATTCTCCGATGGAAATTAATAGGGGTCTTTGGTATAAAATTTTTTTAAAAAACCCTTCCATGAAAAGTTACGCCCCTCCTAAAATTACAAAAAAAAATTGTTTTTCTTTTTTATCTTCCACGTACATCAAGCTAAAGAAACCAAACTTGGTGAACATTATCTGTCAATAAAACTACACTTTTTGAATTTTTTTCAACCCTGAACTATTTTTGTAAGGGGTTGAAATAATCAACCCCTATGACATTTTT